ATATATATATATTATATACATACATACATAAAAATGCTGCATTTTTCATCTACATATTCATGTATTTACCTGTTTATCTGTTTATTTGTGCATATGTGAATGAATTTGTTTACATGGGGAGAACAGTTTCATAGTTGTCGCAATAGGCTTCGCGCGTTGAGACGTGCGTGTACATAGATGTATGCACACCTGCCACACAGACACATTGATCACTCGTGCATACTACTGATGTAGGCAGGTATGAAGATATGTGTTCGGGCATGCCCGTCTGATCAGTACAGAAGTCCACAACACAATTGCAGCATGCATGATTGTTTTATGGTCGTCAATTGCCAGGTGTAACATGCTTAGAGTGATGTTACAACACCAAATTCGACCAACGAAGCATTGGACATGACCTATTGTGATTCATGCACAGACTTCAGATGAACTAAGCACTAAACTCAGAACAGGCATGTAAAGGTTTGTTGGTAAAGGGACAAAATATCAAGAATTGAATGCTGCATACAAACTTTCTCTAGCAGCCACAGATGGAAATATTTTTCAACAATATCAACCCTCCAACTTCAACGCACTACCGGACTATCCCATCGTTCCATTAAAGCACAAGTGTGAATGATCAGGGACTGAGACTTGGTAGCTACATACTAATCAGACTGTTAAACAACACAGGACTCAAAAACTGACACATGTACCTGCTGATGTTTGGTTGGCCTGAAATAATGTGAATATCAACTGTTGAACCATGCGCCGATTACCCAGAGCTAAATCGCACAGGAGTGATTAACCCAGAAAAAAGTAATTTGGAACAAACAAGAAATGAGGAGGTACAGGGTGTTCACTGGGTTAGTAATGCTGAAAAAAGCAGAACGGCAACTCTGACCACAGAAGCAGGGATATTGGTAATAACATTCGTAAATGTAACACTAACAATACACGGACTACACTAGATACGCTACTTCGTGCAAAGCAGAATGCATTCGTAATTTCAGTATGACTGAGAATGGAGTTGGGGATTGGATAGCCTTGTAGGTGTAAGACGATCATATTTCCAGAACGCATACCGGTACATACACTTAGAATAGTGGGTCACGAACTGCTACGACACGAATAGCTGCCACTGTCGAAATTTATTGCTCTTTTGGCAAATACGCTTCAAGCTTTGATGTAACGGTTTTATTTATCTGGAAATACGGCTGTGGTGTTGCATATACGATTGTATGAAGCAGTGAAGTAGTGGACCAATGTTAAGTAAACGATAAAAGACTACAACACAAATGGAGCATTGTAGGTGGCGCTGCATTATACACATTGAAATACATGCACACGTACATACATGCATGCAAGCGTGCATGCATGCAAGTATCGCAAGCATCGTAAGCATTACATCACTTTGTGCATTACAGACATTACATGCACGAATTCCATCACATCGCAGGTGTGGCATTACATTACATTACACTGCAATATTGCACACGTAACATTGCACACATTACGTTTGGTACATACAAGGCACCGAGTACATACATTACATTAAACATTACATATATTATAGCCAAAAGTACGGGCATTACATACACTGCATGCAGTACACACGTTACTTGCATTGCATGCAGCACATTACATTCACTACATTCGCCGCATATGCTACACACATCGCACATGACACACATTGCATACATCATATGCTGTGCAAACATTGCAAGAATTACAGTGCATGACAAATACTATATACATCAAGCACATACATTTCATACATTACGTTACGTGCCAAACCACACATGCGCTACAACTACATGACAACACACAACTGTAACCGCAAGCACATACGACACAGTACTTTCGACTCGGAGCGCTAGCATCCGTCTCATCTTGAGCCATGCACGTGAAACATACTTTAAGAATGATTTGTATACGACTCATAGCGGCACATGGTCTTTCAAGACATGTCGTGGTCTGCTACACAACATTACATACAACACGTACAGTACATACAGGGCCTGCACGACACGCCGGACATACATTGCATACATCACACACACCACATACGTTGCACACATGACAATCATGACATGCATGCATCCATACAGATATCGAGGCATGCATACATCCGTGCATGCATACACACATAGATACATATATTTACTCGAATGCCTGCATACATATGTGCATACATCCATACATCCATACATACATCCATGCATGGACGCATACCTGCATACATACCGTATATACCACATACAAGTCATACAAGTACGTATCGCGAATGGGTGATGGTGGGTGGGTGGGTGGGTGCGCGCGGGTGTGTGCGTGTGTGTCTTTGTTAATTGCGTAGTCCGTGGGACAGTGCTTCGTCCAATGTCAACCACAAGTCGGCTACTTAAACCAAAGCGCTGAATCCATGCATAGAAAGCTCCAATTGTAGCGCGCTGCCGGCCTGCGTGGTGTGGCAAGCCTGCCTCTAGAACTCCGACTGCAACGAGCAGGGTGAAGTTGTATTAGATGCCACTGAGAAGTACAGTATTTGCTGTTCGCTGCTGTTCCAGGCTGATCGGCGCGTTACCTGCATGATTCTTGGGTTGTTTCCGTCTAGCTATCTGTTCTGCAGGGCACACGATCTGCAATCCACGAGATGCTTGAGCAGAATTGGCCCGGGCCCTCACCGGCCGACTTGGCATCGAGGGGGAGGGAGGCGCTGAAGGCGTGCCTGAAAACTACGATTTGCAAATCTCGGGTTACTGTTACTATACCACCTCAAGCAGAGATGAGAGGGAAAGCTGCGAAACTCATTTTCACGCACACAGAGCCCACGACCAGAATTGGAAGCCACCTGTGGACCGGAAGGGACATTCGCCAAGCGCTTCCTAGCCCAACGGAAACTCAGCCTCAAGTTCAGCCGCTGTCTGCTCGACATTCACGGTCCCGCTTGCCTGGCTTCATCATCTTTTCAGTAGCATAGCATTGCGGTCAAGATCCGGACAAGAAGCAAAAGGAGATGTCGAGAGAGAGTCTAGGGCTCTCTGGCCTTTGTAGCGAGCTCTCCGAGTCTGTCGCATGGCAGCTCCGAGGGCTGCAGCGTACGCTCTGCGACGGGCCTCAGAGGCAACGTCGAGTAAGATCGGCTCAAAAACAGCACCGACACCTGAGCGCTACTGCGAAGTTCAATGCCGAAGTTGGACAGGAAATCTTGAGAGTAGCTCGAGACCGCAAGCAGAAATAACACACTGCAGCCGCATAACACTATTGCATAGTTCTGAGAAGCGTAAGAACCAAAGCCCGGTGGTCAGTCAAGACCGAAGTGCAGCACTTGCACGAAACGCTTCCTCATCCTCGAGACTTGCTGGCCCGACATTTCTACAGTTCTAAGGTTTATCTGCCTTTGCTCGGGGTCGTTTGCCCCTTGGGCACGGTGTAACTAGGAAAAGGAATAGTCAAGGGAATTGCATGCTTTGCAGGACTGCGAATTTCGTATTACCACTTTCATGCCAACCTTGTAAGCCCTGTCAACCAGGTCCAAGCTCGGCGTGGACAACGTCGAAGAGATCTCGTTTCTTTGCGATCATGTTTCCAACATGTCGTCAACTGCTGGATAGCCACATGCAATACCTGACCAACCTTTCTGTGCAATCCAAGAAAAACTCAGGCTGCAGCACACGCAACGCTGACCCCGCATCCTCTTCTCGTTCGCCGATTCTTTGCTGAAATCTCGACTCGAGGCTGGCCTTGTCACGCTCCGCTTCTGACCTGAGTGAGGCTGAGGATCACCTCGCCCTTCAACCGGCAAACAGAAACTCGTGCTCGTGGCCTCACAGCGATCAACAACTGGGCGATCCACGGAGCTTCTGGAACTCCACGCCGCGCGCGGAGGTCCTAACGTTGGACTGCATTGGACTCACTCGCAAACTCATGCGCCCACCTGAACTCCCATGTCAGATGTTGAACCAAGTCGTTGAAACCTGAAAGCCGTCGCAGTTCGCAGGTCCCTGACGTGATGCCTTTGTGGGCTCAGGATTCAACAGCTTCGCCAGATCAGCCTGGCCGATGGTGTGTGGGGCATGCCGATACCAAGCAGCCCTGGCCGCTTAATCAACACCAAGTGCGGCCTCCAGCTTGTCGATGCGCTGCTCGTGGTGGGTTGGCCTCGTTGCCTCAGACTCCAGTATCCCTTGGTGTGATTCAGTACTTATCGCTCGGGCGTCTCTCATCTCTTTCAGCGCATGGCCCGCTCCCAGTCGTCAACCTCACATTGGCAGCAGACTTTTTGCATCTTTCCCACGGGCTGATGCGGTGCCACTCAACTGCCAGGTACAGGACATCCCGCAGTGCACGCTGCAGGTCCTGAGCGGTCGAAGAGGCTTTCAAGCAGCCTGTCTGCGAGGCACAAAGACCGTCTGTGTGTTTCAGGCGGCGCGAACAATCTGCGTGTTCTGCGGGGTTTTAGCACGAGTGAAATCCTACGTCGTCTGCGTCCCTCTCTCAGGTCCATCTCTCTCCCTTCCTCGCTTCTCGGGACTAAGTCACCTGCACGCATGCTACAATTCTGTATTTCTCCCTCCTTGCCTCTTACCTCTTGCCTCGTGCCTCCTGGCTTCCTCTGAGAGGCAGTGTGGGTCAACAGCTTTTAGGAGCTAAAGGAAGTAGTAGCATCGCTCTGAGTCCCACTTCCAACAGGTGCAGGCTAGCGAGTGAGAACATGCCTTCGCGATCGGGAAGTCTCCTTCTCTCACGCTCAAAGGCTGGGAGGGTCGAGCAGACTTGGCTCCGGGCTGCCTCGGCGAGCCGCAGGCGTCCTTCCAAGGCCAAGGCCTCGTTGCGCAAAGCCGTGAAGGGAGTTCTCTGAGCTGCTTGCTGATCACGTGGGAAACAAGTGGCGGGGCCTCCGCCGGGCGGGTTGGACCACAGGCTGCCGTGATCCTGCCATCCTTGAAAGCCTGCAGTTGCTGGCCCACCTGGGAGGTGCAGACTGAGAGACATGTGCATAGATCAAGGCAGAAGCAAAGCTCACGATGCACCTCCGCCTTCAGCTCAGAGGTCATCTGCTCAGCTGCCTGACAAACAGCTGGGGAAATTCGTACCTGTGTGTACGTGTAAGTGGTTGCGCATGTGCGTGCATGCATGCATTCATAGACACGTAAATGCATAGATGCTTCTTTGCATGTTTGCATACATACCTGCATACATACATACGTACATACATACGTACATACGTACATACGTACATACGTACATACGTACATACGTACATACGTACATACTTACATCTTGCACTCGCTCTCGGCGACGCAGGCGAGGTTACGGGGCAGCACTACAACTATGAGGTTGCTCTTCGGGGAAGAGGGCGCTAAGCACATTACATTACCATACACTACTTTACATTACTTTGCATCTGTTTACATTACCTTACATGTCTTCACATTACTACTTTTTGCGGCACTCACTCTCGACAAAGCAGCCACTACTTTATATTCCTTACATGCAATGCATAGATGCATGCAGACATACATGCATGCATATATACATATCGTGCATACATTCGCCAAATGCATACATACCATACGCATCATACATGCATGCATACATGCATGCTCGCTTGCAGGCTTGCAGACACGCATGCCCACATGCATCCACACATGTATGTATGCATGCATGCATATATAGCAAGCGTACACCACATACATACATTACACACACACACACCTTACATGAATACACTATGTGCATACAATGCATGTGTACCCTTTTTGCATACATTACAGGCATACATTGCATACATACGCTAGCTATCTTTCGCATATTACGACGCACCCCATTCCATCACATGCGTACATTCTGCGCATACACTACATACATACGTCGCATACGCACATTACATACATTGCATGACCATCCATTCCATTCCAGTACACTGCACGACAGTGCATTACACGCCATCCATTGACATACATACATACCACAGTGCATTACAGTCGTCTCCTCTATCCATGATAAACCTACACATAGATATCCATGATAAACCTACACATAGATAGCTAGGTAGGTGCTTGATGGAGCATGGATGCATGGATAGATGGATAGATTGTGTGCCGGCATCAATATCGCAAACATCCAGCTTCTTTTCAGCTGCCACCTCCAGAACCTCGGAGTGGCGCTTCGAGAACTGGGCCACGAGCCGCCTGCCGCAAACACTGCAAAAAAGCTGCAGTATGTTTTGTACAATAACTTCAAGCTTAAGCAATTACGCCGTACTACAACAAATTGAACATGCATGGCAGTACATCAAAAAGTTTAAATGGTGCTACATAGTCCTAGGATAGACTAAACTTCATAGAAATGCAACATAGCGCACTATGATATGCGTCCTTCCCTAAATTCTTGATTCGTTTTGTATAGCAAGAGTAGTACATGGCAATACATTAATTGGAAAATGCAATGTTGCCAAAAACATATGCATTAATATTATCATGATGTAGTATAACAGGTTATACTGTTATACTACATTATATTATCACAAACAAAAATGCGATGGCAACTTCGCGAATTGAATGGCTCATCGACTGTTTCCCCAAGTCATTGACATCAGCCAGTCTTGTTGCTTAACAGCTGCTTCCAGCCTCTCCAAACACCGCAAATCGTGGTCGAGAGATGCCTGGACCTGCTCGGTCGTAACAAGCGAGAGGGCACGCTGCGAGCATCACAAACCAAAGATCTAAAGCAGCTGCCATGGTGTCGATCTTGACTTCCAGGTCCTGTGGGGCCACGCTGGTTTGGCACTGGTTGGGCAGTCTGCGTGGCGACTTGCAGAAGAAGAGGTCTAGGTCTAGGTCCTTGCCCCAACGTCCGGGAACGGCTAGGCCTAGGATCCGATAAGGCATGGACACATGGAGGCAACCTGTTCAGACGAATTCTATTCTACCGTCTTCCAAGCTTGTTTGACGTCTGCGCACTATTCACACTAGATGCATCAGTCCCTTTGATCTTCGTGCTTCTGAGACGATTCCGACATCGGCATCGGCATGTCAAGAGTCCGACTTTCAATACGTTGGGCAAGCTCGCGGCATTTTGCCTGGCAGGGCAGCTCTCCGGCCACGGCTAGTAAATCGAAGTGATTTGAGCGACCTCTGCTTCCACGCGCACCGCTGCAGTTGCCGCGGTTGCAGCCTCTCGCAGCACCCTATACCCCAGGCCGGTTCACCGTTGCAACAGATCCACAGTTATTCTCAGCTCCACCCATCCGAGACCATCCATGAACTCCTTTTTGTCGTCCTGCCTCGATGCCATCACGGCCACACCTGCCGTAAGGAAACTCTCTGTGAAAACCAACAGCCGAGGAGTTTCAATTTCATAAATGCACCAGCGCGCGGACTCGAGAGCCTCGAGGAGGCCGCTGCTAAATCCGCCGCAGAAGCCACAGCCTGCTGACTCAAAAGACTTGGGGCCCTAAACCCTCTTGGGGAAGCGCAGCGACTCGTTCAACCAGCAGGTCCTGAGTCGCATGGTTATGATGGGCCAATAGAGGCTGCTACAAGACTAACAGAGGTGGGAGTCCCACGGAGCCGATTTGCAGTTTCCTAGACTAGGCGTGCAGCAGGGAATTGGGTTTCAAGTAATGGTCATTACTAGTGGTGGACAACTGCACTGCTCTTGCATGGAGGGTGTGTGCCGTCGGCAGCCGCCGGAAGGGGCCCCCTGTGTTGCAACCCGGAACCCAACGTCATTGGCTCCGCGTGTTTCTCTTTGCATGGCCTCTTGTGCCGTAACTCCACCAGCCTCGAAGGCTGGCTTTCGGTACTGTGCAAAACGCGTGCGCGGGGGCCGGCTCCCTATCGAACCATCGACCAATCCAGCAGTGCAGGCAGACACACGCACAGCAGCAACCACGGTCGTCCGTGAAGTTCAGCGAAGGTGCGGGGTCTGCGGAGTGCTGGGTTCACAGCGGCCTTCTCCATGGACTTGAACCTCGCGTCGAAGCCTGCTCAGTCTCTACCATCTGAACAGCCTGCGTCGATGCCCGATCTCAAGATGCAAGAGCGCCTCTGATCTTTCGATCGAGATCGCGCAGCCTGCCCATACAAAGGTCTGTGCGACCCAGTGCTCGCATGCTGTTGGGGCCTGGCGATGCTACAGGCCCGAAGAGATCAAGTCGGAATTGGTACCCGATTGCGGGTCGCTTCCAGTGCCAGAAGCACGTCTCGTAGGGCTGAGCGAAAAGGCTCATGATGCTTTGATATGATTTGTGTGCCGAGTGTTGATGTCGCAATGCCCCACAGTGGCAAGCAGCAAGCATCTCGCAGCTGCACTCGGCATTCAGCATTCCTCTGTTTGGCTATGACCTCTGCACTGCGAGAGATGTCTGCTCATTACTGCATTACGGATTGTCGGTTTTGCGTGTTGTCTTCCCGGTTCCGATTCCTCCGAAATCGAGGAGTATAAACTATAAACACTTGCCGCTGTTTGTCCCTCTGCGAAATGCCAGTCCTGCTGTGCAATTCCGGCGAATCCCAGAAGTGCAGCCCGGACACGTACCCGCGTGCACGGCATGCAGCTCAAGCTCGGCTGGCTCCTTTCACATCGGTTAGGTGGCTGATTTGCGTGTCTCGGCCAGTTCAGTGCCTCCTGTGGCCGGGGTGAAGCGCGAGTGGACCCCGTGGCTCTTAACCTTTGACCTGAGCAGAGCACAACACAGCATAGCCTGATATGCTGAAAATGCACTAAAATGGAGGCACCTGCTGTCCATGCTGCGTGCACTGGCGGGATCCATTCGCAGTGACACTGTCTCAGTCTCTGCTGATGCGCTGAATGAATGTCTATGTATGACAACATGCCGATAAAACCAGCCGAAAGCCACAAGTGCTCCACGCTCTTTACGCTTTGCACAGCTGTGCATGCGCTGCTTAGGCAGCCCGTGAGAAGGCCCCGGCTCATTCGAGCGCTAGCACTTCCTGGGCTCTCCTGACAGCTGAGCGAGGACACTTGCTTTTGACTCCGGTTTCGTGCCTCGGCGACTTTTTCTCGAGCTTTCCCTGGGCGAGAACTCTGCTTTTCTCAGTGCAACTTGTCATACGTTCTGCAGCTGTTGCATCGAGGGTACTAGTGTGTGATGGTAGAGTACCAGCTCCCACGGCTACTCACATATGCAGCAGGGCCACTACTTTTACTATGCAACTCCAGGTCGCGCACGGGGTGTAAACTGCGCCCGGGCTCTCAGCAGTGCTAGGTTGTCCTCTGCGAGACCCAAAGGGTAGATCACGACTTGCCAGTGACAGCCAAAGTCTCCTCCGCCTGCCTGAGGAAGCCAGCTATTGTCGGGCTGGGCCTCACGCAGCTTAGGTACCGAATCTGCGCTCCCATCGACTGGTGAACCCCGGTTCTGATCCGGTTCTGTGAGAATGTAATTACCCATCTCTTCCACTGACAGTTGAACAATTGAGCGAAAATACGCGAGCTGCTTTATCAAAAACAGGAGAATGCGACATGCCTGACAAGCGCGTGCACGCTGGACGGCTTGCTTTGCTAGGCTTCAAGCTGGCACATGGTGCGGTGTGCAAGGAAACCTCAGTCGCATGACCCGCGCAACTCTACATGACGGAGTGGAAGTACGAGTGCGTGACGTAAGTCAGGCCAAGATCATCGCCGAGATGCGTGCATGCTGGGAGGCATAAGCCGACAGGACTTGGGTCAGGACTTTGCAGCACAGATGGAACCAGGGTTGGGCAGGGGGTTGCGTTTTAAGCTGTTTACACATTTACTGTTTAGACGACGGGATGTTTAACACAAACGGTCCTGCAGCAGAAGTTGTTTAACCTCTTCAATCGCTTTTTGAACGCCAAATGGTTTAAACAAACCAAATGTCTCGACACACACACACACACGCACACACACACAAGTTAAAACATCTCTTCTCTGAGCTGTTCCATACATTCACTTTACCTTCAACTTCAACCTTGCAAGGCCCACACCGAAGCCTGTAAAAATGAATCGATTACATACATTGAAACTCCACAGGATCTAAATCTTGGAGCCCAAGGCACTGACTTAGTTTAAACGGTGCAAACGGTGCAAGCGTTGGAAGCAGGACGATTGAGGAGTTTAAACGCTTCAAACGTTTAAACGGTTTAAACGTTGGAGCCGCACTTCTGAAGATAGGGAAGCCAGGGCATTGAAACGGTGTAGAGCAGGACGTTTAGGGCCGTCTGTCAGCAGGAACCGCTAGACTTCTATAGAGTCCTATTGGCCTAGACTGACACTCGAGCTCGCAGCCATTCCAAACGATAGTAGAAATGGAGCCGTTTTGTGAGCAATCGACGACAGTTCCAGTCCACAGATGATCGAAGTGACTCACGAATTGTGCAGGGTAGGAGGAGGCTTACGTGCCCAACTGTCTCCTTCTTCCATGTGTCACCCTTACTCGACTCTACAGTGCAGCAATGTACCAAAAGCAGAGCTTGTGGTGTCTACTGGCACTTGGTGCTTCACCCTGCATTCCTCGAACATGTGCCTTTGCACATGCGCGGGGATTGGCAAAAAAGGTCGCCTGCATGGTTGCCACGCAGTATAAACTGCTGCGGAAAAGGGCTCAGCCACTCGGCCTTGACAAGGCCGATACTTTCTCCGCTACCGTTCGTGGTGCCCGGTCCTGACACCCTCTCAGGCGCAGGAGTTGCCGAAGTGGTTGCAGCACCAGACCTGTGGCCCCAGGGTCGCAGCTTGATCGTCAAGCCCGTTAGGCCCACTAGCAGCCACGACAGCCACGACAGCCCCAGGCGCCTGCTTGGGATGGGACCAGCCCGCGTGCCAGTTGGTGACGCCGGCCTCGGTGCGCTGCACGGCGCGAGCATTGCTCCGGCACCGGCACTTGGCAGTTCTGAGGCGAGGTGCCAAGCAGTCGAAGGGCAGGTGCCCGTGCGTGCCGACTTGCACCCAATGTCCGCCTCCGCCTGACGATGCGAAGCCCTGCGCGACTGCCG